GGAGCCATGGGGAGGGGCTGGGGGAGCAGGGAGGTCGGGGGGCTGACAGAGGTCCCACCATGGTCCCATCCCCTCCCCTGCCCCCTACTTACCAGCTTGGAGTCAGGCGCAGCTCCCTGCTGCAGCCACCCGGGACTGCCCGAATCATCAAAACTCTCCAAATCTTTTCCAAAGATTCGGAGACCTATGAATTGATTTGGACCTTTACATTGGTTCCCTGATTCAATTCAGATTCAGAGATTTGGCCACCGAATCAGGCCAAATCTCCGAATCGAATCACTACCTGAAGCTTCGCGTGGCCCTGGTGTAGATGATAAAGTTAGTGGGAATCCAGTATATAGGTGGATGCTTTCTATTTTGCTTGCATGCTATCAGCATAAAGTTCCTATGGGGTTTTTCCCCCATTTTTACTATTATGTAACTACTCCAGTGATGCACTCACTACAGGTGAGTTTGCCTGCAAAGCTGAGTATCTGGATAATTCCTCCTATTCAGGCAAAATTTCCATGGAAGTCTGACAGTTTGTTTGGCTAGGGACTTCAGAATATGGCTAGAGAAAATGTTACTAGATATGGAGAATTTCTCATGGGGCTAATACAGAAGATGATAGTCCAACATTTACTTCTAATTACATTTTAACATTATCTTCTTTTAGATGATGACCAAAATGTTTTCCCCCACATACTGGTGGGTCCAATATGAACCTGCTGATTCTATAATTGCTGAACTGAAGGAGTGGTTTCTGTATGGCGATGCTATTGAGGGGCTCTGCAAGGGTGTGCCTCTTTATGAAGTCCACAAGGTTGAAAGTGAGTACCATGAATCAAACTGAATCCCTTGTCGGGGATCCGCTTTTTCTACTCGTATCTCTCTTGATGTAGCATCTGAACATGTCACCTGCTCTGCATACTTTTATCCTCATATCATCTCTGTGAGATAAGGAACTGCTATTGTCCCCATATTACAGGGAGGGAATGGAGGCACAGGCATATTTTATTAATGATTTAGAAGCCTACAATACAGAGTGATCAGTGGGGATCAGAAGTCAAATGTCACACAGGGAGTTGATGGTAGAGCTAGAAATCTAGTGCATATCTCCAGCTAACTGTACCACCCTTCCTGTCTTGCTGAAACCGTAATGGCAGCTCGGGCTCATTGTCATTTAAACAGCTCTGCATGACAGGGTTTTGTACAGAAATGAGTTTACTGCAGTGCCCATTGGCTGTGGAGCCCATGTTGCTACTCCTATATTTCAACTCAGCCCTGACCGTTGACATAGGAAGATGTTGCTTGCAAAGAAGACATTGCCAGCTTCTTATACCATGCAGTTATAATGCACCCATAACAGATCCAACTTATGCCAGGAGACTGTCTTGGCGCACAGCTGAACACACAGGAGAAAGGTGGCTTAAGGCAATATTTACATCTCCTCCCTCTGAGTGGCACCATCAGAGCTTTATGCAGCTACTGTTCAGATCAATGGGAACCTTGTAATGTATCATAACTTGGAATTAAGACCTGTGCTTGCATATCTAACAGATTTTGACTTATTTGATTTTGGAGAATTGTCAGTGAAAATCTGTTTACGTTCCTTGTTTCCTGTTTAGGTGGAATTAACTCTGGTGGCTGCATTAAAGCAGGAATCCCAGACATTTTGCACATTTCTATATGTGGAACAGCCCATCTATAGATGTGACCCTGGCAGTGCCATTATTTGGAAAGGGGTCGTCATTTTCTGTGTGCTTCCTGCTTTGAATATTTTGATGGCTATTCAACTGAGATAAATTTCATTGTTCTACTTAATCAGCCTCTCCTCGTCTTTGAATACAACAAGCTATGATATACCAATAAAGAGAGTGCAACCTTGCAAGTGCCTTGCTTTTCTGTTCGAAAACAGCAAAACATAAGTAAATGAAAACTCTCTTCTTGTCTTTTTGTGTTTTTAAGATGTTTTCCTCCGAAGCCAAATGAGTTTGCCATGGGTACACAGATTGTTAACATGCATTGTGACATGCATGGTGAGGACATTTTAAAATGACCTCCTGCATGAAATCAATGCACAGATACGTCCTGTACTTCTATCGGACCTGAAATAAGAAACAGAAGGAGGGGTGCTAGTTTGTGTTCATGCATGGTCCCAGACACATCCTCAAGGCCTCACATTCACTTTTATCATGTGTTATTTAAACGCTGCTTTTCGAGATGGGTCTGAACCAAATCTCTGAAATTTAACTACCTCAAACTTTGAGAAAGTGTATAGCCACATGCTCACATTTGCCCTGCGTTTCTGTAACATGTGGAACTAAATCTTGGCTCTGAACACCATCTCCAGGGCCAAATAAATGCACAGGCAAACTAGGCACATGCCTAGGGCCCTTATCTGTTGGGGG